CAGCCTCAGCCTGCCTCAGCCTCAGCCTGCCTCAGCCTCAGCCTCAGCCTGCCTCAGCCTCAGCCTCAGCCTGCCTCGGCCTCAGCCTGCAGCCTCAGCCTCAGCCTGCCTCAGCCTCAGCCTGCCTCAGCCTCAGCCTCAGCCTGCCTCGGCGTGCCTCAGCCTCAGCCTCAGCCTGCCTCGGCCTCTGCCTGCGTCGGCCTCAGCCTGCCTCAGGCTGAGGCAGGCTGAGGCCGAGGCAGCCCGAGCTGAGGCCCTCAGCTCGGGCATTCAAAATATTGCACAGGACTGGCGTTCAGGGAACATGAAGATCACGAAGTGGCCCACAACTGGCTCCGGGCAATCAAAATATAATACAGGAGTGATGTTCTGGGAACACGAAGAACACGAAGTGGCCTACAGTTGGCTCCGGGCATTCAAAATGTGGCCTGGGAATGGTGTTCTGGGAACACGAAGAACACGAAGTGGCCTACAGTTGGCTCCGGGCATTCAAAATGTGGCCTGGGAATGGTGTTCCGGGAGCACGAAGAACACGAAGTGGCCTACAGCTGGTTCCGGGCATTCCAAATATGGCCTGGGAATGGTGTTCGAGGAATGGATTCCTAAGGATTACTACAAATTCATAAAGATTCCGAAAGAATTCCTGGGGCTGCACTTTTGTCCTATTCCTTGTCCGGATCCCGCCCAGAGCCCCCTGGGGTGTTAAGATGCCCTCTTTCGATCCCACTAGAAACCTATCAGCAAAAGCTGTTAGGTAATAACTCCTCCCTGTCCCGTCGCATCCACAGACGTGTCTGTAGGGCAGGCCGGACTTTTCGCCTAAGACTTCCTTACCACTCATGACCCCGACGCTTGAAAATTGACGCAATATCAAGGATGGAGGGCGGGCCGTTTCCAAACTGAGGCTCTGGCCCAAATGCCGCGCTTAGTGCCATTGAAAGATACAGTAAGTTCAAGCATGGAGGGCGGGCTGTTTTCAACATGTAGTTCTCGCCTTAGCGCCGCGCGCATTCGTCTTACAAATTCGCGAGAGTTGAACATGTTCGTGGTTGAAGTCCCAGGAGCGGTGATCTGGCACGGCTTAGTATTGCCTGGAAGCAACCGTCACGCTGTTGTGTGGTGTTGAGACCACAAGGGGTTTTCAGACTGTTGTTTTCAAATGTGGCACTGCCCGAAATGACACTAAATTTGCTGTAAAGATCTATTAAGAGGCACTTTCTGCGATTGATGGGGCGTTTCTGTATATACAAGAAGTGGCGTGTGCTTGTGGGCAAAAGAATGAACGGGAGGCGGTGGTGCCGCGGATGAGGATGAGAAGGGTGAGGATCAAGAGGGTGAGGCTCGCCCTCCTGATCCTCACACCCTCAGCAAAGTCTCATCCTCCAACTCCTCCTCCTCCTGCTTCTCCCCCTCCTCGTCCTCCTCCTCCTCCACCACCTCCTCCAACTCTCCTCCTCCTCCTCCTCCTCCTCCTCCTCCTTATCCTCCTTATCCTCCTCCTCCTCATCCTCCACCTCATCCTCTTCTCCTCTTCCCCCTCCTCCTCCTCCTCCTTCTCCTCCTCCTCCTCTTCCTCCTCCCCTCCTCCCTCACTCCGTCCTCCTACGTCTTCCTGCCTGCTCATCCCCGCCATCATCCTCAGGGGCCTCCCTCGGGGGCCTCTGAGGGCCTCCTTGGGGAGGCTCAAAGATCTCCCAAGAGAGAGCGCCAGTTTGGAATTCGTCACCAGATTTTTCGGATTCTGCGGAAATGGAACAAGGGGGGCCTCTGAAGGCCTTCTTGGGGAAGCTCGGGGCGGCCATTTTCTGAGGCTGTCCTACGCGAGGGCGCCGGTGTGGAATTCGTTGCCCGATCCCCCTGATTTCCCACAAGAGGGGCGGTTGGCGGGCCCATTCCCTCGCGGGCCAGGTGTCAGGATGATGTGAGCTTTCAAGACAAGCGCCCTCAACCAACATAGTTGATGCGTATTGGATATCCACTGGTTTTCACCTCCTCCGCCTCCTCCTGCTCCACCTCCTCCTCCTCCTCCTCCTACACTATCTCTCTTATGAATAACTCCTCCATGTCGCACCCCGAAACGTGTCGGTTGGGCGGGCCGGGCGTTCCGTCTGAGGGTTCCTCACCACTGCTGATCCTGAAGCTGAGAACTTGCAACAATTTCACCGACGGAGGGCGGGCTTTTCAAAACGTGACTCCCGCCTTTGCGCCGCGAAAATGTGTCTAAAAAGCTCGCAAGAACTTCAAGGGTCGAGGGCGGGTCGTTTTCAAAATGTGCATCTCGCATTAGCGCCGCGCACACGTCTTTGAACTTGAAAAATTCACGAATTCAGGGCGACTCCTTTTCAAATTGTGATTGTCGCCTTGACGACGCGCGCATTCGTTCTAAAAGTTTGCAGCCGCTGAAGAGATGGAGGGCGGTTTCTTTTCAAACTGTGCCTCTCGCCTTAGCACCGCGCACATTCGTCTCTAGGAACCTGCGAAAGTTAAACGGATGAAAGGCGGTTCCTTATCAACATGTGGTTCTCGCCTTCGCGCTGAACACATTCGTCTTGAGAGTTTACAGAAGCTTCCAGGATTCTGATGGCTGACGACCCAGATATTATGGGCTTGCACGATGCAGGACTCTCAGGGCGAAACAGTCACGATGGTTCGCGGCGTTGACGGCCCAGGAGCGGCGTTCTGGCACGACTTCGGATCGTCAGGACGCAACACTTATGCTGATTCGCGGCGTAGGGGGAGGGGGCGGGGGGGGAGGAGGAGGAGGAGGAGGAGGAGGAGGAGGAGGAGGAGGAGGAGGAGGAGGAGGAGGAGAAGGAGGAGGAGGAGGAGGAGGAGGAGGAGGAGGTGTTCCGCCGCGGTTCAAGATTTCAGAACGATGGTCTTCCAACAGGGAACTTCCGTGACAATGCGCCCTTGTGGGGGCCTCTGAAAAAAGGAACTTTGAGAGAGGGTTTATTGCAACACTGCTGGCGGATATTGGGTTTACACTGGTCCCTGAGGAAAATTAAATCTCCTAGGATTACTGAAGCATCCGTTAAGAATTCTTAGGGCGCTTTCGGAATCCGTGGGAATCCTGAAAAATCCATGCGGAATCCTCAGGCATCCAGCATCAATTCTTAGAACTCCTTCCAAAATCCTTTAGGAATCTATGCGAATCCATTGGAATCCATCGGGGTCCTTCATACTCCCGGGGGAATCCGTGGGAATCGTTAGGAATCCGGAGACATCATGTGTAGTGAACCCATAGGAATCCTCCGGGAATCCATTTATAGATGCCTCAAGAATATGTAGGAATCCTTCCGTAGGAATGTTTCCAACATCCTTGGGAATCCCAGGTGAATCTTCAGGAATCCCAAGGGATCCCTTAGGAATCCTTTCAGACACCCCTGAGGAGTCCTTGAGGGATCCTTCGTCGGAATGTAGGAATAGTTAGGGGAATCACTTCGGAATCCTGAGGCATCCGAAGCGGTTGGGGCTGGCACTGGCCTGGCTGGAATTGGGCCGGGAATCGTTGGAACCGCCTCCAACGCGGTTGGAATCCTCCCCATTTTCGGTGTGAGCCCCCCCCCTCCCTCCACACCTCCGTCCTTCTCGCCCTCTCTCCCTGCCTCCGACAGGGGCCAGAGAGCGGCGCAGACTCCGCAGCGCTGCCTGGCTCTTCGAGGCCGTGTGGTGGCACGCAGAGCGCCAGCGATCCTTCGATCCGATCTCGGCGTCTTGTGTCGCCCAGCGGCCTCCCGACGGCTAGAGCACAGCCGAGCGTCTGAGCCTTGGATGCTCATTCTGGGGACCTTCCCGGAGACACTCGCTGCACTCGTGCGTCGAAGCTGCGTCGAACGGCCGTCGATTCGAGCCGACTCTGAGTCGAACCTGAGTCGAACCTGAGTCGTACTTACGCCGACCTTGAGTCGAACTTCAGAAAATCTGGATTCGAACTTGAGTCGAACAGATCCGTTAGGCGGGCGACCTGGACAATGCAAGGGGGTACGCGCTATCGATGGCACCTCACGCTCCGAATAGGTGCTGCGCGGGCGGCGAAGCTCGTCTTGAGCATAATTACTTCACTCCACAAGGCACCGTGCAGGAGCAGTGGCACGACTCAGGCAAGAAACCATTCTCGATCATCTCCCGGTCCTTTGTCCGTCACTTCCTCCCCTCCTTCCTCCTTCCCCTCTCTCCTTCCCCTCCCTCCCGACGTCTCGGAGGCTTTTGGCCGCCCCCATGGCACCCAATAGCGCGTCCACTAACGCTCGATAGATCGCAGGGCGGACGCAACGCATCTGCCTCGCATGGCGCAATTGGGCGCTACTTGGGAGCTGTTCGGCGCTATTGGGGGCGGTGCGCGCGCTGTTGGGGGCTATTGGACGCTGTTCGCCGATATGTAGTCCATGCAGACGAGCGGCAGCTTCCATGCGAGAACGGGCAACAAAACATGTTGTTAGACCCCCTCATGGCCCAGATGGCCACGCTAAGAAATTCACCGCGGGAAGCGGAAGGATCTAGGTGCCAGGAAGAGAGAGGGAAGGAGGGGAGAGGCGAAAATGCAAGCAATTATACGCAAACGCGCACAGCTGCGCAGCATGCTCTCAGGCAGATCGAAGCTCGGAAATTTGCAGCAAACACGCGCGCGCCCATACAGCAGCAAAGGTGAAGCATTGATCAGCAGTCCGGTCTCGAAGCGATCACCAACAGGGAGGGCGAGGGCGTAGTTATGGAAGGGGGGAAACCAAGGATGAACGGGGGCCCAGGAAGTGGGACGAGGGCCCTCCCTCCCTCCTCCTCCTGCCAATTCTCTCCCATTCCGTCCCCGTCCCCCCCTCCCTCTCCCAGTCCTCCACACCCTCCCCGTCCTTCCCCTCCCTCTCCAACCGCTGCTGCTGCTGCTACTGCTACTGCTGCTGCTGCTTCTGCGCCCACCCCCCTCTCCACTCCGGAATGCAACGACTTCTACCTACTGCCAGCTGAAAGACGTCTTTGGAAGAAGACGCTATGCCATGGGCTGCGGTCTCTTATGAGATCCTTCCGGCCAAGGCCCACGGAACTGGAACCTGGCGCGGCGACCGTGCTTAATTTGCTGAATGGGAGGATCAGGAACACACCTTGCATGAGAGGAGGATGAAGGAGATGGAGACGAAATAAGATGGGGCAATTTTCCACCTCCACTACCATAGGCAGGGCAGGGGAGAAGGGGGGCGGGATGTCCTCATCCTCCTCTTATTTTCCCTCCTCCTCCTCCTCCTCCTCCTCCTCCTTCTCCCTCCTCTCGCCTATGGTAGTGGTGGTGGGAAATCGGCCCATCAAAACAGGTGATGATGATGCTGATGCTGATGATGATGGTGATGTTGATGCTGATGATGATTATGAGGAGGATGAAAATGATGATGGTGACGATGCTGCTGATGATGACAGTGATGATGCTGCTGCTGATGACTATGGTGGTGTTGACAGTGTTGATGATGATCATTATGCACATGATGCTGATGGTGGTGATGACCGTGACGATGGGGCAGACATTGAAAAGGAACAGCCCAGTGAGCTGAGGGCGGCGAAGGCGGGGAAGGGAAACACAGAGAGCAGGAGGGGGAGTGGAAGGAGACGGAGAGGGAGGAGGAGGAGGAGGAGGTGCATGGAGGAGCAGGGGGGGAGAGAGCAGAGGACATGAAGCAGCAGCTGTAATGGTTCAGTCCGGCGCCGTGCCGCGAAGCACGACGTGGAGTGTCCTTCCGCCCCTTCGGATTCTGTTCTCTGCGCTGAGGGTGCTCTTTGAAGTTTAAGAAGCCCAGACCCTGTATTAACATAGCTCCTGGATGTTCAGTTTCATGTTTGTTTTGTCCACGAGGCCTTGGAAACGAGGTTAGGCACTCACGCGACTAACGTACCTGAAAATTCCCCTGGCCTCTCTGAAACCCTCTCGGGCCATCTTCGACACCGTGAAGGCCAACCCAATATGCCAAACTCACTAAATAACGAGAAGTTGCGCATGGCTTCCGCGTGCTCGCCCCCGTTCGGTCTCATGCGCGTCCAGGACGGCCCAAGAGGCCCCTGAGACTCAAGATAACCCCGGAAAAAAGGCTCTCACGAAGCCGCGGGGAAGCCCCTGGGAGGCTCCTCCAACGACGCATCCAAGAGGCCCCCGCATCAGAGATGTTGTCCTTTCCCGCGACCCTGGCATGATAGCGGGATGGACAGACAACCGCTGGATCTGCCGCTTCAGAGGCCTGCCAGACGGATGTTTGGCGCGCCAGCCTAGCAATGCCCATTTTGCGGCGGCGCGCGCGGTGGAGAAAGCAGAGGGAGCAGGCCCCTTTAGAAGGCGGCGGGGCTTCTCAGAAGCCCTCGCGCCTGCTGAGAAGTTCCCTGCCTCTCCGGGAAGGCGTGGAACACTTGAGCGGGCGCGCCGCCGACAATGACGCTGGCCCAACTCGCCGGCCACGCAGCATCCATGATAAAGGCAAGTAGCCAGTGGCTTCTCCGACCAAGATGCTCCAGGAGGCCAACGCCAGTGTGTTGCATGCAGGTGTTTCAAGCATGTTCGTGTTCTCGCCATGTCGGGATTCCGGCAGCCCAAGACGGCCCCAGAGGCCTCCAATATGGTCACGGCACGGCCCAAGAAGCCTCCAAAACGGGCCAAGAAGGCCGCAAGAGGCCCTATGAGGACCCCGCGTCTGCCCCAAGAGGGCCCACGGCCACCAGGACAGCCCACGCGCTCCAAGAGCGCCACAAGAGGGCCCAAAGAGACTCCCAACACGGACCCAAGACTGCCCGGAGAGGCCCCCAAGACGGCCACCGAAAGAGCCGGACGGGCCAAGAGAGCCCCAGGATGGCCCAGCGAGACCCCGAAGAGGGCCCACTGCCTCTCCTCCTCGGGCGCAGCCAGGGGGCGGTCCTGCCGGCCATCGGGAGCAGAGGCCACCGCACGCGGGGCGGGCGGCCTGAAACCGCACCGCTCTGAGGACGCGTGACTGCGCATCTGGCGGGATCACTGGCGCGGAGGCTGAGACGAAAGGGTGCGGACCGTTGAACAGATGATAGGCCGAGACCACTGCCCACTGCCTCTCCTGCTCACTGCTTCTGCCTCGCCTCCTGCCTTGAGAGGGTACAGCCACCCGGCCCCTCCTCCTCTTTTCACTCCAAATGCTCCCCTAAAGATTTCCACGCCGGCTGAGGGAGCACATAGTATACAACGGAACTGAGTTGGCCCAACGTTTGGCCACATACGCATTTCCGAAAGGCACTGGGCGGCGGTGGTTCACCGCATGGGACGCATAGAAACATACTAATACTACATGTCCTCCTTGGAGGTGCGCGTCCGACCCGAACATATAGTATACCTATCTTGTAGTACATCGTTTCCCGAGCGATGCAGCCAGAAACCACCCGCCACGACGCAGATACCAGCATAGTTCTCGGTGCGCGCGTCGCCCCTGGGGGGCCGACGCACTCATAATAGAAGTATGTTGGGGTGACGCCGACCGCAGGCGTCTTCGATCCGCCGCCCCCGTAGACTGCCAGAGGAAAGATCTACGCGCCGAATGTTGAAACACGTGTTGGCACCGCAAGAACTCGGCCCGCCTCGCCTGCCACGCAGGAAAAGGTTATCCCCCCCGTCGGCGTTCCCGCCCAATATGACTTCGGGGGGGTCTACTGGATGGCCTGTGTCGGCATCAAGTGGGTCCGATGTGTTGAAGTTGGCCTCTGAATACGGTCGGGCCGCCGAAAGAAGAAACGCTACATACGGAACGAAGCCCCTTTTTCGTCCTAAAAGCGCCTCCGTTCCCAAGGAGGGCAAGAGGAACCGCAATTAAGGAACTTAAGGAACATCGAGCCCCTTCCGAACCCAAACTGTTCCATATTTCAGCGTCCTGACTGTAGGCTCAAGGTGAGATGGTCCCAAGGTGACCTAAGATGGCACCGAGACTGTCCAAGAGGCTCCCAAGGAGGCCGAAGTAGGCCCACAGGAGGTCCCCGAGGACGGCTTCCAGAAGGCCCCCCAAATCATTGACTTCCCTGAAGGCTGCATATTCCTACGGATTTTCACCTCGTCGGCCTGAAGAGAGGTCCGGATTCCCAGGGAACGGCTCGGAGAGGCCCGAACGCGCCAAACGGCCCACAAGCGCCCCACGACGGCGTTCCAGGAGGGCTCCAAGATGGCCCGAGCGGGCCCCGGAAAGCTCCCAATGAGGCCCGAGAGATCCAAAAGGAGGCCCGCGACCGCCCCAAGGCGGCCCCCGAGGGCTCCTCTCCGATTTCCCCCAGAGCGAGTTTCCCCAACGGCTGGCCGGGGATCTTCTGACCCAGGTCAATGCAAACCTGGGCCAGTCAAGCCTTGCAGGATCCTGCAAGACCCTGCAGAAATCCTGAACCCACACCCCGGGCCAACGCGAAAGATCATGCGAGGTCCTGCACCATCCTGCACCCAAACCCGGGTCAACTAGGTCTGAGGGGGAGGGGGAGGTTCACTTCGCTCGGGAGCTCCCGAATGAAGTGAACCCCCCCCTCCCCCTCAGAAATCGTGGGGGGTAGGGGTAGGGTTCGCATGTAGTCCCCTCTCAACGTGCCCCTGGCCCCGCAGGATCCTGCAGGATCGGGCGCGCTGGCCGACCCCCCGTGTGCACGGACCCCTGCCTCTTGCTGCCACCGAGCTGGGGGCGCGCGTGCAGTCCACCGGCTTGGCCGCGCTGCCTCGTGGCTGTCCGCTGCACGGGCGCTTCCGGTAGCGTAGGCCATGGCAGAGGAGGAGGAGGAGGAGGAGGAGGAGGAGGAGGAGGAGGAGGAGGAGGAGGAGGAGGGAGGAGGAAGAGGAGGAGGAGGAGGAGGAGGAATGAGGAGGAGGAGGAGGAGGAGGAGGAGGGGGCGGCGGCGGCTCGCCCCACGGCGCGCTCGACCCAGGGCGGAGAGGAGAGGCGGCGAGCGCCAGGGCGCGCCCGACCCCCAGCGCGAGCACCGCACGCCGCTGCCGACGTGACGCGACGGCGCCACCGCGCAGGGCGTGGCGCGCGCACGCCACGTGTTCACACGCGCGATGCTCGCGCGATGTCTCCAACGCGGAGCGAGGCCCCGACGCCGGATGCGGCGCGTCGCATCCGCGCGAGGCCTCCGCGGGGAGGCGGCGCGTGCTGTCTCCCCCCCTTCTCAGCGGGCGGCGTGGGGGTGGCAGCGCAGAGGGTGCTGACTCCTGGGCGCCGAGGCGGGCGTGGGGGTGTTGGGACACGGGCGTCGCGAGCGCGCACAAGAGCACCCGACCCCGAACAGTCCTGTTGAGGGGGTGGGATGCGTGGGCGCGTGCCTTGCCAGCACTCCCCTCTCTATCGCTCTCTCTCGCTCTCTCCCTCTCTATCGCTCTCCTGTTTTGTTTTCTCTCTCTCTCTCTCTCTCGCTCTCTCTCTCTCTCTCTCTCTCTTCCTCCCTGAGACCCTCCCGCGCCGTCTGCCCTGCTCGCGGGGGTTAGCGGCACGCACGAGGGCGCAGCGCGAGAGGGGCGGCCTCGGGGAAGCGTTCAAGAAGACAGGGGCCTTCCTAGAAACCCGCCTGGCTTCTAAGCAGCGGCCCCAAACGCCTCCCTCCAGGCCCTCCTAAGACAGCCTCTGCATTCTCAGAAGCGCGCCGCCTTCTTGGAAGGCCTCCCCCTTCACGCCATCCTCTTGTGCGCGCCGCCAGGCAGGGGCAGGAGTGCCCAGAATAACATCGACAAAACGGATCGGCGATCGACATGAATCGGATCGACGGAAATCGACAGCCGAGCCGGGAAAAGTCGGATCGGCAGACACCTCGGCAAGCCGGTAGGCCTCCATTGAGAAATCGGATCCCGAATCGAAATCCGAAGTCGACTCGAGTCGGAGTCGGACATCGGATCGAATCGGAGGAGTCGGAACGAGCCCTGCAGGGGGGGGGAGCAAGCGGGCACGACTGGGCAGACGGAGGGCAGGCGCGGGCGGTCGTCGGCGGTTCGCCGTTGGCAGTTGCGTGGCGCTCGTCCGTCAGGGCTCGTGGGTGGGCGGGAGGGCAGGCGGGGCGGAGGGGCGTCGGGGGGGGGGCAGCTAGGGGTGGACG